TTTTTTTTTACTATGGGTAATCTCGTTTTTGACATTGAAACAGCGCTCCGACTGCTAATTGAAAAGCTGCGACTGTGCTGTGAGTTTTCAGTTAGTTGACTTTGCAGTGCACTTGGTACAGACATGTTTGGGACACATGACAGCTGTCGTTTAGCACTTATGCACAGCAACAACAACAACAACAACATCCACAACCACAACCTGCCTGAGTATTTAGCACCAAATCCAATAACCTGAAATTCCCACCCGATTCGAAAACAAATGTAAAACATTTGCGTACATTTACGTAAGCTTCACTCGTATGCAGATGTACCTAACTATCTATAGTACTGCAACTAACTAAAGTTCACTATTTATAAGTAGTTCGTCTGGTTGTCAGTCTATAAACTATAATTCTAATAGTGCCAGTTCCGGCTAAGATCTGAAACGCGTGAGCAGTAATTGCATCTGAAATAAAATTTTCTTCTATTCGAAAACAAATTTATCGCAGTGTTGAGCAATACACTGAAAAAAAATTTAATCATACAACTATTTTTATTAATCTGCAGATTATCTAATTTCGAATAACATTAGAAGTTTCACAGGCTGAAGCAATTTTTTTTTTCGTCAAAATTTTTTATATTTTCTATAAATTGAATCTGTTTAGAAAACAAAATTCTTAAATACAAAAATTAATTGAGCATTTAATGCGTTTGAAAATTAGTATTTATTTTAAATAAATAAATAAACGTTGATCCATTCCAAAGCGAGAAGTAAATCAAGTTTGATTCAATTCAATTCAATTCAATTTTCTACTTAAAATGCCATAAATAGATTCTCGTTGCGTAAACGGATCCAATTCTAATTTTAGGAAATATTTTCGCTCAGTGCATGCGTTTCGACAGAACTTAAATACCTTGCAGTAAGAACGCAACAATCTTGACTCTCTTTCGCAACGAAACTGGTTTGGATGAGTCGTGGCCGCCTAATGCTAATGATATTATACAACTCTTATTTATTGCAAATGAGAAAGGAAAATAAAATCAACGTAAATAAATGAACCCCAAGCTCATGAGCAAATCAAGTATAAATTCGCTTATCACGTGCCATTAAAGCCACATTCCAGCTATAGCCGGTGTCTCTCTCCGACTTCTACAGCCGAAGCTTGCCCATCAATCAATGTGATTTATTAATAATTTTTAAGTCAACAGTCGGGCAACTCAACCATATCATATATATATCATAGCCGTAGCAAAATGTTGTGGACGAATTGAATGGGCAGACGCAGCGTATGAGCAATATTGTTATACACTGTACGCGTTGTTTATGAGGGGTATATTTATTATTTAGAGGTAACCGTACTGGACAATGAAATGGGATAGAAATTGCTTTCACTTTTAGTTATAGCAGAGCTTTTAGATCATATATATATATATATATATATGCAGGTATATAGACCTATAGACTTTTACTTCTGGAACCTATGTATATAATATATACAGTCACAGGCATTAACACAGTTGTGGAGCATTCCAGTGTCATTTTATGAGCCTATCTAATTTATTGATGATGAAATCCCACTGTCGTTAAATTCACTTCCATCTCTCATAAAAGTCAGTAAACACTTTTGGAGCAATTGAATAAAATACAGTCTGAAAGGCATTAGCAGCTGACTAACTGAAGAGTACATTGAAAGAAAATTTATAAGTTATACTAGATTACAGTTCATAATATAGAATACTTCAATATATAGAACACATATAGAAGTTCTTTTACAGTTTAAATAGTTGATATATTGTATCATCGATATTGTATCATAGACAGAAGGCTCATAAACCATTTGCTTAATTTATTTATAATACAGGCTAACTGCCAATTACAGTTAAAGTCCTACCGAGCCGAGTATCGTCTAGTCGTTAACTCCCAAGTTATCGGCGTTTATAAACGGCCAGTGGACAGTTTGACTGGCATTTGAATAGACAGGAACTAAGCCCCGCCTACTTTGCTATTGGCTCGACTCCCGTTGGCGATGCGTCATACCTACACAGAGTGTCAATTGGCATCTGGTGAACAGAAGCTATATTGACATTGACTGCTCTGATAAGGCAATTGACGTAATTATGACAGTGTATCAAGGGGTTTGCATTATGCACAGGAAGACAACTATTTGCTGATTGTTGTTTTTAGTAATTGAAAATTTGCATGGCCGAAGATCGCTTCACACACCGTGGAGCTCGATCGATAAATGGTTTGATAATAGCTGAATAATGCAAACATTGCTCGAACATTAAAAGCTAATAATAAGAAATGAGCAAACATTGCGACAAATATTTTCGATGAGTCTATGAGCCCATTGCTGTGATTTATGGCCCACACATGGTCGACTTTCGATCGCTTTGTCATCGTTAATCGTTTATCGTTTGCTCGTTTCGCTGTTTACCAAAGCTGTAAATTGTTTTAAGAGATACAGATAAGGCCAGATATATATGTATCACCATAATTAAACTTTGAAGATTTCGTATGCGATATTGTTTAAGAATTTATGGAGCATTTAATTTATGAACACAGAATGCTGAGTCTTAGATCCCTTATTATATCACATACGAAGAGTTGTCTGTATTTATATACATATGTATGTATTTTGAAGCTACAATTTATATGATTTATGATATATGATACAGCGGTCTTATCGAGAATACGATCTGTATATACCAGGAGTAGCTTGGCAAATTTCTAACTAATATTACGACTAAGACATAGCTAAAAACATATCAATTCTACTTTACATCTAACCATTATCTGCTTTCACTTGCAGCCTGTCTTGGAGATCTGATGTGTTATGTTTGCAATAATTGTGAGAAGGTGGACAAGAATACACCTCTATTGGCCTGCAATGAGGACTTCTTCAATCAACACGGCAGCACCGAAGCCTCCACCGTAACGACATCCTCAAGTATACCAACAGACAGCGAAACCTCTGAATTGACACCGACTACCACCAGCAACCCGGAGACCATCATCACTACTCTAGAGCCTGAATCCACCGAACCAGGCACCATCGACACGACCGTCAGCACAGACCTGCCCATCCCGACGCCTGCTACAGTGGGCCCGCCAGAGACAACCACCGGCGTGCCTACGCCCCCAGCTGAAACTGGATTGGATAGGCTGGAGATATCGAGTAAATTTGCGGTCTCTACTGAGCCAGAAAACTCCACAGATCTGTACATTCGCCAGCGCAGAGCTGTGATTGATACAGGCATTAGCTATCACTGCTACAAGGTGGAGAAGACATGTGAGCAAATACATATAGATGACTCCTGAGCTGACATTACTAATTCCAATCTCTATCCATAGTAAACAATGTGAGGCAACTGGATCGCGGCTGCTCCCGTGTCAAGACGGACCAATCGGTTTGCAAGGAGCTTGAGAATCAGAACGTCGGCGCTGTATTGTCGCGTTGTGATCCGTGCACCATGAATGCCTGCAATGCTGCCACATCCACGGTGCATGCCTCCATCCTGGCGACAGTGGCTGTGGCAATAACTGCAGTTGTGCTGCAGCTCAAATAAAAAGTGAATACTGTGAGAAATGTTCTTCGCCGCCATCAAATCTTACACGCCCCCAACCGCCCCTCCATTGTTGTCCAACTCTCACTCGAACCCGGTGTTATTTAGTACATATTGCTCATCTCTTTAAGGTACACAAAAATACACACACACGCACACACACACAAACACTCTCGTTGTTAAGTCATGCGAAAACTTTATGTAATTTGTAAGCGATACAAAAACAAAACAAACACACACGAATATCGAAATATACATATATGTATTATACATACGCCTCTATATATATATAATTCTAAATGAACTAAAGCTAACCAAATGTGAAGCATAAGACAATTTTAATTGATATGTAATAAACTATTTATGTATTAAAGATTTTTCAAATTTTCTCTTCAAAATTGATTGAGAAATCTCAATTTTTGCCGTTTTTATTTTGATTGGGATATATTTATTTTAACTCTCAATAGGTTCTAGTTTGTGGCATAGTCGAATGGTTCGGGTAAAGGTTGATCCTAACTACCTTGAAAGTGTGGAAATATACGATTCGATGTATTGGATTAAGTAAAGAAATCGATAGAAGTACGGTATTTCCCTGTAGACAGGGACAGGGAGACATTATAACGTGCTGTGGTACGCCATGAGGAGAATGAGATTTATTGGAGTCATCGAAGAGTATTGGAAGGCTGAGATCATGTTTGAAGATCTGACAGCAATGTAAATCCAATGTAGGGGCTGCTACAAATCCGAATATATATTTGTTGCAATAAATTAACAAAATATCTCGCACAGAACTAATGTGTTTTAGAGATCCATATGAGTTAAAAATATATTTAATAATCTCTATTTTTTTATTTTTAGTAAAGAAATTTGTATTACTTAAAAAAAAACTTGTTTTTTGCTTTTTTTTTGACTATGATAAACCATTCCTGTTATAGAGCTCTTCAATTTAATCTTCTAATCTGCAAGGCATGTTCACATCCATAAATCTCGTATAGCTCAAACTTTATCTGGAAAGATTTATGCATGCTATAAAAAAATGAAAGTTAATAAAGCTAAAAGATCTGTTATCTAACGTTATATAAATAATTACCTGGACCACAAAGTTCTTTGAGTTATGCTAATTATATTAACCCGCTGATCTGCTAAGATGAATTCTATTTATACCTGAGCTACAACTTAACACATTCTGTTATTTGATTAGGCCTTCACAACTTTCGTCACGATTTAAGTAAATATATTAAGAAGTCAGATAAATCCCCATATATCTAGTCATCAGATGTTTTCGTGTCGCTTGAATCACTTGAATTGAGTAATTTAGCTCTGGGTCAATGCTGCGCCCGTTGCGCATACGCCAACAAAAACATTTTTGGTAAGGAGGAAAGGGGCATACTTTTAGGCCCAACTATGCTAAGTAAATTTGCCCAGAGCAAACAGTGCACAAAAGCAAATCACCAACAATAAGATAAGATAAGATTTCATTAATAACAAAAAAAAAAACAAAATAATAATAATACAAATCGACAAAAATGTGCTCTGCTTTATATTTATTATGTATAAACAGTGCGTACGAAAAGTGTATGTGCGCATCCTTCTCTCAAAATATTGTGCCATAAATTAAAAGCGCAATAGTCAAATAATATTTATATTTGTAGATACGATGAGCCGAGAGATATGTCACTTTCTCATGGGAAATTTACAGCTAAATAGCAAGTGGAATCTGACTCATCGGAAAATAGCTAAATATTTGAAACACAACTGACTGAATGACACTTGCTCTAAATCATTTTTCTTCTTATTAATTCTTCTTATTAATTGATTTCGATCTTATATTAAACCAATATACTTTTTTTAACTGCCTGAGCGAGTGCTCGCCTCCTCGAGAAGTTGACCTTCATAAATCATAAATATATATAATTATGTGCCCCATAAAGTGCTACGATTTGATAATGATTTCTATAAAAAAAATAAATAAATAAATAAAATTAAAAAAAATGTATATATATGTATATATTCATATCTCTGACGATGATAAACAGCTCAGGGTGAGTGAAAGTTATTTTTTTTATATTAAATTTCGAGTTATCTTCAAACTTGCCGCGAGATAACGTGCAATGAGTGAACTTTTGATTTTCTTATGACTTGTATTAAAAAATCAATAATATATAAAATTATAATTTGAAATAAGATAACGTAATTTGTTTAGCGAAAAATTGAAGTCAGATTTGCCTAACTAAAAACTAATTGAAGTGCTCTATCTGCATGCCATACTTTCTGTGCCGACCTCGTATATACTATCATATATACATAGTCTATATTTTATAGTCATGATTTCTTAGACATAAAGATAGAACCACAGACGGGCAATTAACCGTCATATTTCCAAATTCGTTGACAATTAAGTACTTTGTTTTAAATTTAAGCAATCTAGATAAGACATTATCCCATTCATGATTCATTCACTAAAAGTGCATTTCAATGACATTGAAATTGGTTTTTCCCCTGAACCGTTTTAAGTTTATAGACCTTAGATGATAAGCGTTCATAGCTAAGTTAAATGCATTTCATTTCTTTTATTTTCTTTGCAATTACGGAAATGTATTGTTCCGTTAAAGGCAATATTTATTTTTATTAACCCACTTCTTGTATTTTGTTTTCATTTTGGAGCTATTAAAATATTTTTGAGAACTTAGTGTTTGGTTTTTGTTTTTCTATTCGTTCAATTACGTGTGCTGTGCGCAGACAAAGGCCATTTGTTAAACGGCTGTCCAAATATGTGAATCATCGGCAAAAAAATTGCTGGCGAAAATATTCATATTGCACCGCCGTTAGGTACTACTATATCTAAATACATATATACATAAACATATGTGTATATACGGAGAGACAAATATTCAAAATTATCTTTGATTTTTTTTATCAATTTGTCTTTGAGCTAAAGCCACACAAACATTCAGAAACTTTTATCAGTTTTCATAACTTTTGGCTTAGAGGCTTTGCCAATCGATAAAAAAAATAATATTAATAAAAAAAAAAAATGATTTTTTTGACTTGCTATTACACGAGTCTAGTTCCTTATAGACCCATCGTGAAAGGTATTGCAAGCCCTTAAGACTCCAGGTCATCCACATAAAGTCCATTGGCCTAGAGTATTTGACGATCGGAATGCGCATTTCGAGTGGTCAATAGGAAGCCAGCTTTTATGGTTCCCGCTTATCGCAGCACACTTCGCTGGCTAGCGGGCTCTTACACAAATGGTCTATATCCTGAGGAAGTGCGCTGTAGATATTGGGTCGACAAAAAGGCAATACAAATATTTGCCCTGGAAATCGTAATATGCTAGTTATCAGCAGCAGCAGCAGCAGCAGCAGCGGGGCGTATCATTCAATTCATAGCCGATCTTATCGACTCATCGAAAATTATCTCTCAGCAACAAAATGCCAAAAAAAAAAAAAAAAAAAAAAAATACAATAGTACAGTGAGCGTACGTAAGAGTGGACAGTTATACATAAAAATAAATGTATTCATCTCTCTCACATTTATATATTTCTTTTTGATTTTAAATTAATCGCCTTCCATTTTGTTGCATTCATTCCCTTTAAAGTTGTTTGCTCATTTTCAAATGAAATGTTTGAATTTTAGCTTTATTCATGAACTAAAAATTCATTTCATACCTTCTAAGGTGCCATGTATTTTTTTTCGGCTCTTAATTTTAGTCCTGCTTGCAGAATTTTATTATTCTTACTTTCAGTAGTTCTCTGCTTGTGGAACTACATAAATTCCATTTAATTTCTTTTGGCTCCGCACGTGAAGTTAAGACTTTGCGAACTCCATCTTCCATATCTTGCGTTTCGACGACTCTCAGATTTAAATGTGGAGCGAATTAGTTCAGATTACAGCTTTGTTCTTTTTTCTTTTTAAGAGGTGATCCAGTTCCAATCAGCCTGGAAATTAAAGTAGTGAAACGCCAGCAAACTCCGTTTATAGAGTGTTCACTGTAACCGCTTACTAACCAGCCAACGGGGCGCTCTACAGTGTGGCCTTATCAGTGCCATTGGCCCGACCCGAGCAGCCAACCCATGAGTATCTTGGCCGGTGCCAAGTGATAAAAAAAAAGCCATGTTAACAATTTATTTAATTGGTAGTTTGCATTCGAGAGTCGAGCCGAGCTGTTGTCTATAAGCGAGAGCAACGCGAGTGTAGCCAAACGATCCTTGAGCCACATATCCTTTCAAAGTGAAAAAAGACTAACTATAAATACCAATGCGTTTCACTTACCTTTTGCTGTTATCCTTGTGCGTGTGCGCTGCCGTTTGGCCAGGTGAGCAGCGCGTTTTAAAACGCGCGCAAAACGCGCCCAATTATTAGGATTTATGCAATCATCAATACTCGTTGACAAACAGTGAAAAGCATATTCAAAGAATATATAAACAAATTAAAAGTTTTTTAATAATTGATATATTAGCTAAAGAGAAAGGAAGAGACAAAAACAAAAAACACAAGTTTCACAAATTTCAATTTCAATCAATCACAAATGGAAATTTAAAAAAAAAAAATAAAAAATAAAAAAATAAAAATTCCAACATCGATCGATTTCATTTCTTTATTGTCCTAAGTATAATGTTGAACGAGCTACGCTAGTTGCGCACGGGGCACGCGCCTTATCAGCATGTTCCACCCAATTCAAAGAAGAAGACCACGGCCATGCCCATTATTGTAATTAGTTCACATTTGATGTTACGCATGCCGCAAGAATGCCTTGGCACACACATGTTGTTCTATGCGCACTATTGAAGCAGGACACCGGATCGAACGCTATTCTCGACTCTACGAATTTTAGGCCTCGTTTATTTCACATTTATTACATCATGCATTGCAAGTTTTCCAATTATTTACAATGCTCACATACACTGGCAGAAAAACTGATATTTCTTTTAATTTACAAATTGATGAAGATCTTTTTCAAGTATATCTACTCTGTTTACAAATCTTTAAATTAAGAGAATTTAATTATATTTTTTCCTCCAATTATATACATAGAAATTCTCCAGAATATTCTGCTCTTCGATTCAATATATTTACTAGGCTGTTTTTATGTATTAGATAAATTATTTAGATAAATATATTTGAAGTAAAGATTGCCTTCACTTCAACTTAAAGCATATTTTTTCCAGTGAACTCTGTTTCCTCCGAACCTCTTGGAAAGAAATCTTTTATAACGTTATCAGTGGCTTGCATTACATATGAGCACACACACCCATATCATTTATCAATCAGGGTTATTTCTGACACAACTTTTATTTTATTTATATGAACAACTTTTGAATGTACTTTTTATTTTTTTAGCAAATGCGCTCGAGTGCTACGAATGCGTTGGATCCGATTGTAATGATCTGAACGAGGATCAGCTGGTTAGTTGCGAGCTAGATGATATTCCAGCGTCGACAACAACTACGGAAGGCTCAACGTCAGAGTCATCGTCGAGCTCAACGGAGTCGGAGTCAAGTGATTCGACGACAACACCGTCTGGTACCACTGATCCCACCAGCGATGACACAACGGAAACCACTTTAAAATCCACCGAGACCTCCACGCCAACGGCGGAAACAGGATCAACCACATCATCGGATACCAGTGAATCCACCGGAACCTCAGAAGCAGAGACAACTCCAGCTGAAACAACAGAATCTTCAACAACGCCTGACACATCAGAGTCTACTGGTTCCCCAGCATCATCCAGTTCATCGGAACCAACTACAGTTGAAAGCAGCGAAGCTTCCACAACGATCGATACATCAGAGTCCACCGGATCCTCAGCATCCAGTTCATCGGAACCAACTACAGCTGAAAGCAGCGAAG